TTTATGCAGTGGAGTACTACTCAGCTATAACGACCACACTGAGACTTTTATAAGTAAATGGATGTGACTTGGAATCTTTTTTTTCTAGCTTGTCCACAACTGCCTTCCTTCTGTGTCCTTCCTTAGCCCGTCCTCTGAGGGAGATCTTGGGTCTCTTCCTCTTTCCAGAAGGGTGTTGGTCCTATTAGGGCACTTATGACCTCACTTAACCTGTGTTACTCTGTCTCCAAATACAGTCACTGTGGGGGTTAGTGCTTCAACAATGTAGACCACAACATATGGTCTGGTCTTCCGTCCTTACTGTCAGCATATGTGTGTTTTATTATCTATCTATCTATCTATTTATTTATTTATTTTGTACCAGGAATCGAACTCAGGACCTTGCATTTGCCAGGCAGGGGCTGTGCTGCTGAGCTACACCTCCTGCCAACATATACGTGTTTTAAAATTTAAAGGCATCTCACATCGGTGCTCTTTTCTTGAATCTTGACTTTTGGCCCCCACCCCCACCCCCCCTCATCATATTCTTTTTGTCTTTCGGTTGGGAAGTTTCAGTCTCCTTACAGTTAGTTAACGTGATTATCCGTGCGGTGGGGCTACGGTCTCCACCTTGCTGTCTGTTCTCACTGACTTCTCTCTTCTCTCCTTTCCTAGTTATGTTTATTTCTGGAGGTCCGTCTGGCTCTTAGGTTGGCTTCTCAGTCCTGCTTCCCTTTATTACTGTTTAGTGGTTGTTCAGTACGTGACGATTTTCATCTTTAATAATCTCTTTAGACTTAATGGTGTGCTGCTTTTGAGAGCACTGAGTTTCTTTTCATTCTTCTTCATTCTCTTTTTCTATCCTTCAGTTTGACTGATTTTTCTTGACTTATTTTCAAGTTCACTCTCTTCTGCTTCCCCCTTCTGTCCACTCAACTTTTAAAATCTTGCAATTCTTTTTAATTATAGCTCTTTTTAAAAAGAGTGTCAACATTTCTGCTGAGTTCTACTTGTTTGCTGTCCTCTAGTTGCTTAAAAATCATATAATCGTTACTTTAAAGTGAGCACTAAGTCTAATATCTGCATACCATGGGTTTGGTCTCTTGAATATGGACCAGTTTTGTTTTCTGTGCATGTCTAGGAACTTTTGATGAGGTACTGGATGATGATGATAGTATTTATAGAGACATTGGGTTTTGTTTTCTTCCTCTGAAAACAATTTTTATTCTACCAGGCAGCAAGGGATATAGACATTGTCTTATCACCTTGAGTTTTTGTGGGTTTGCTTTTATGTTTTTATAGGTGGCATCTGTGAAAAGCAGAGTGTCCTCCCCAGGTTCCTCTAATTTAATGAGGTCAATTCACAGTCATGTTCCTTGTGAATCTTTTAAGGACTTTTTTAAGATGGATCTAAAGCTGTATGGTACAATATGGTAGCCATGTGTAGCTAGCTATTTAAACTTAAGTTCATATTATATAAATGAAACAAATTTTAAAAAATCACTTCCTTAGTTGTACTAGCTATTCCAAGTGTCCACTGGCTAGGTGTGGCTAGTGGTTATCACTTTGGACAGAAAATAGTGCCTTTGGATGGCACTTACGGAGAGTATGTCTTTGTCTAGGGCATGGTCCTTAGGCTCTCACCATCTTGGGGTCTTACCTGGAGACATGGAACACGGAACAAAGTCTCTCCACTCTGGTCGTCTGTATCCTCTCTGTCTTCGAGCACTGCTTGACTTCTAGTATTTCTGCTTTCTACCCTGTTGTAGCTGTTTTGTGTTTGTGTTTAGCCTGCGTGCACTTACCTTGAGCCTGTGTAGCCTATCTCTTGGTTAAGGATCCTATAGCGCCCCCAACACAGGCTTCTGGGGACCCCTCTTCACAGTTCCCTCCTCTCTGCTGCCCCCACAGATTCCAGCCATTTCTGCTGCTTCTGTCTCTGCCTCATCAGATCTGCTGTGCTTTGTGCAGACCTGAGGTCTGCACTCTGCTCTGAGGAAATTATTCCCAGAAGGAGGCAGCTGCGGGGCTATTTGTGAGCTTCCCTCCTCTGAAGGATCGTGATTTGTGCTGCCTGTTGTCCAAGGCCAGAGACTGTTGCCTTCTCTATTTTGTCCATTTTTATGTTTGTTTTGTTTTTAGTGGTGGGAGAGCTACTTTATCCCAGTGACTCTGTCACAGCCAGAAGTAGAGCCCACATTAATTAGTAAACAACCTAAAATAGTAAATCCTGTTTTTAAAAACGTACTCCTGTTTTTAAAAGCTCCTTTGCAGAGCTGGTCATGGAGCTCACTGGAGAGTGCCTTGTTAGCATGCATGAGACTCTGGGTTCAATCTCCAGGATCCCAAAATAAAACAAAACAAAACTCCTTTGCTGCTAGGCTTTCCTTGTTGGAAACGTACCCTATCAGCGGCTGACGGCACACTGTTTAGCTGGTTTCTCTTTTCCTTCTCTTTTTCCTTTGGTTCCTTTTCTGTTTCTGCACTGAAAATCTCTGGCAACTCTCAGATTTCTTCTATCATGCAGAGGATACAAGTTCTCACAGCTCCTGTTCTCAAATCTGTAGCGCCAAATTTGCAGAAATTCTGAGAACAGTTGCTCTTCCATTTAACAGAGTCTAGCCTCTCCAGAAGATGAGTAATGTTTTGGTTCTGGTTATTGTTGTTTTTGTTTTGTTAGTTGCATCATGCTCCATGCATCCCTCAGATCTGTCCTTTACTCAGGGATCAGCAGAAATGCACGCACCCAACTGTGCTTTAACCAGAGTGTCTGCGCTAAAATTCAGAATCTTCTGCAGAGACAGAAGGCCTGTTTCGATCCTTCCCTTGCTGGCTCATCTCATCATTCTTCACTGTCCCTTCCCAACAACGCCACCAAAACTGGAATGTTTGTGGTTTTAAAAACACATCCCAAATTCTTTCCCCTAGGCCTTTCGTAATAGTGTCTCTTCTATCTGGAGTGCTCTTCCTCACCCCTGACTTCCCGGTCTTGGGTAGCTGTTCCAATTCACCTTTTAAGACTTCACTTAGAAACCATTTGCATTTGAGGAGATGCACTGGCTCTCATTTTCCACTGTGGCCGCAGGTACCTTCTCAGGGACCCCACTGAGCTTTTTCTGTCCTATTCCCCACACAGACCAGGAAAGAAGGCTCTGTGCTGTGGGTCTCATCAGGGCTTGGCACTGGACCTGGCATGTAGCGTGTGCTGATTTCTTCTCTCATTTGCCCACCCAGTGAATATTTATTGAGCACATAATACACGCAGGGCATTGTTCTAAAGTCTCTTTGTCTTGGGAGTTGGTATTCTGAGACAGACGTTAAAAGTACACAAACTGATGCACAGTGTGGTTTAGAATATATAGTGTGTGGATGAAAACAAAGCAGAGCAAAGGCACAAGCAGGGTGCGAGAGTCTTGCCCTAGAATAAATTACAGGACATTATGGCTGTAGTTCAACATGGTGGAAGGCCAAATTGGGGATGCTTACTCTGATGGCCACTTCCTCCTTCTTCCCTGATTACAACTTCCTCCTTCCTTTCCCAGTGCATGTGAAGAAAATTCCAACCAGCTCCTTGCATGTCATCAGTGCCTGCCCTAAGCACCACATCCAGTCACCACATCCAGTCATCCACATATACCCCACACCCCCATAATGTGGTCAGAGGATAGAGCCAAACTGTTGCTGGTTGTGGGCTTCTCTCCATGTCCTTTAAATAAAAAGGCCATTTTCTTACATTCTGCTCCTTTATTGTGCCAGAAAACTCTAACACAGGGACTGGATAGGGTGCCCCTCTGACTAGGTGACAATGGAGGGGAGAGTCGAGTAAGCGAAGGCAGGCGCCCCAAACATCCGGAGAGCACCATCCTAGGAGGAAGGACGGCTTGGTGGGTTGCTCCAGTGAAGCAAGTAGCCTGGTGTGGCTTCAGCAGAGGGAGGTGAGGGGGGGAGCAGGTGGGGTTCTGGGTCATGGGGCCTTCCAGGCCAGTCCAGAACTTTAGACTCCCCCGTTTCCTGGGAAGCTGTGGGGAGGCTGGGGCAGGGGAGAGATGCCGTAGGAGGGGGAGGGTTTGCCGCTGCTGCTGGTCGCTCTGCCAAGTACAGAGGAGAGGCAGCTAGGAAGCCCATGGGAGGGGCACTGCAGGAATCCAGGGGAGTGCACGGCTGGTTTGGGGAGGGCTGGCGTGGGCATTAGGGTTGGGAGAGCTGCTTGATTTGTATTGGTATGAAAATGGTGGGGCTCACTTTCCTCATACCTAGCTCTGCTGTGAGACTTCAGGCTTTTGGAAGACAGGGCATGTGTTTGATTTATCATTATATTCTGAATGCATTACAATCTCTCCGTTTCTGTCTCTGCCTCTCTCATCCCTGCCTGCCCGCCCGCCTGCCTTTTGATGAACTGCTGAGCGTGACAATGCAAATGGGGGGAAGGGATATATGTAGCTCTTTGTTAAAGAAACTGTGGTTTAGAGAGGTTAAATCTCTTGATTAAGTTCCCCAAAACTACCAGATGGTGAAGTTGGTCTTTAACCTGGGGCCTGTTTGACTGCCCGGCCATGACCCTTCTGGGCCCTTGCTAGGCTGGGGTTGTCTCGGAGGTGCCAGGGCGCTGGCTGGAAGCCCTGCTCATGCTGCCCGATGAAGCTTCTTTAGAGAACAAAGCCACAAAGGACTTCCTGATGGCAGGGAAGGTGAGTCTTGCACAAAGACTTTTCTTCAGGTAGAGTCAGAGAGCACCTGTGTGACTGGGAGTCTTGGTTTTTCTGATTCACTCAGGGGGCTTGCATTTTATTTTTCTATTTTTAGAAAATGTAAAGAAAAGAAAAAAAAAGCAGGCCAAATCCCAGTTGCCAAGTCTGTTAACGACACACATAATGGTGTGTTAACACGGGCGATTATCGAGCTGGACAGCACCCAGCTTTCTGCCAAAACAAACCTTTCTGCTCAGCTGACCTGAGACTGCTTCAGCCAGGATGGGTCAGAGGAGGGAGGGTGGACTGCAGTGTTCCGGGGTCTGGAAACAATTAAATGCCATAGCTGTTGGCACTGCTGACTTCCCTGCAGCTCTGGAGGGGAAGACTGGGCCCCAGGTCTCCGAGGAGCTCTTTCTGAGACCTCAGGCAAGCCTCCACCTGCTCAGAGCCTGCTTCTCCTCAAGCAGGTTTGACTCCATCAGCTTCAAGGCCCGATGGTTTTAACTGGCGGTGGTTCTGGAAGCCTTGGAGCAGCCAGTGGAGTAACAGGGTCCCTGCGCAGGCAAGAAGGAGGGTCCCAACTGCAGCAGAGTGAGGGGGAGGGCAGGGGCAAGGTGGCCTGGGCTCTGCCACTGTGAGACCCTGGACGTTACCTAAGGCTCTGTTTTCTCACCTGTAAAATGGTAAATGGGCTTCCCCTCCAGCGCTGTTATGAGAAGTAAACGAATTATAAGAGGTAAAGACAGCAGCGCAGGGCCTAGCAGAGAGGAAGGATGGACACGTTTCCTGCCTGCCTGCCTGCCTGCCTTCCTTCCTTCCTTCCTTCCTTCCTTCCTCCCTCCCTTCCTTCCTTCCTTCTTTCCTTCCTCCCTCCCTTTCATCCCCTTTCCTTCCTTCCCTCTCTGCTTCTTCTTGTCTCTTCAGAAGAAGGATCCGCCTTGGATTACCCGCTGAGTGCCACGTTCTGCCTCCCTCAGTCTGTCTGAAGAGCTCAGCTGCAGGAGTGCGTCTGGCCTTTGCCATATCTGGGCTACGTGCACGCACATGACAGGCACTCAGTAAACGCTGGGGAGCCAGCGGTGACCTGGAGGAGCCCGTGCTGGGCCTGCCATTGCCGGTTTCTTGTTTTCCTCATCCCTCCTCCTTCTGGTGGAAAAGTAGAAAGCGTCCACGCTCACACGCCTGCTCACTCGTTGCTTGCTTTGCCCTCCCTTCCCCAGGCTATAAAAAACATTATATTCTAAAATGAAACAAAGGTAATGGAAACCAGAAATCCATGTTTTGCATGGATCGAAAACATATGTTCAGAGCGAGGATTCAAATGATGAATCCGCACAAGGCCGTTGGCAGCGTTTCCCTCTCTGCTTTTCTCCTCCAGGCAGGAGCAGGCGAGCAGGTCCACTGCACCCCCGCACTGGGGCCGCAGCAGCTGCCCGGGAGCAGGCCTGGTGCGACTGGCCAGATTTCCCTCCGTGAGCCTGCCTAGGAGTGTGGGGGAGGTGGGCGAGCGTCACCGTCCGTTGCTTACCTTTGGAAACACTTCTTTGGGCCCCGTGACAGAGGCTGTCTCTCAGCTTTGCCTGTAAGATTAGCAGCGTGGCTAACTGGGGCCATCTCTCCAGGACACAAATGTCTTATCTGATTAGATCAGCACTTGTTTTTGCCAGTGGTTTTGAAAATCCCTTCTTCCCATCTTTCAGGTGAGGTAACACACCGAGTAATCCATGGACACAGTATAGTGCTAGTGGTGGCTGCCCAGGCCTGAGCTCCCGCTTTTCATTTGCTTTCTGCATCCGTCCAGTCCATGAGCATTGAAAACTGCTGTGTGCCTGATGTGTGGTTAGTTGGAGACAAATCACTGAATGAGACAGATAAGCTCCGTTTCCTCACCGTGGGCTGGCAGTGATATAACTCTACGACCATCTGCCACGCTCAGGTTCGCTGAGCGTGATGCAAAGGAAATTCAGCATCGGCCATGTGGTGCATGCCTGTAGTCCAAGCACTGTGGGAGGCTGAAGCAGGAGGATTGAAAGTATGAACCCAGGCCGAACAATTTGATGACTTAGACCCTGTCTCAAAAGAAGAAAAATGCTGGGGAGTTGCTCTGTGCAAAGGCCCTGCTCTCAACCTCCAGTGTCAAAAACAAATCCTGTGCCACTCTCTGATCAAGGGAATTGGTCCTCAGCTGCTGGGGGAAGCGCTCCTGAGAAGCGGACTGGGGATGAGATGGTAAACCACGGAGGAGCTTTCCAGCCCAGGGAGAGCTGTGAGGAGGAGGAGGAAACATGCACACTGCCCAGGGGCGATAAGAAGCTTGGAGGGTGAGGTTCACCTGTGTTTATCTTATTTCATCCTTACAGTAACTCACAGGGAGACACTAGTGTTACTCTCTGGCTATGTCGCAGCCTTTTTGTGTTATGGGAGAGGGTTTCACTGAGTCACTAAGTTGCCTGGGCTTGACTCAGACTGACCATCTTCCTGCCTCAGCCTTCCAGCATTCTGCGATTGCAGGGGTGATCACCACATCCAGAGTTGCTTTTCGCCCTGAACCACACTGTGTTTTGAGTGTTCATTCACTCATCTGCCATCCTCATTTGAATGGGAGCTCCTCGGGCACACAGTGCTCTGTGATGCTGGCTGCTAGACAGGGCCTAGCCGGTCCCTTTCCCATCCTTGCTGGAATTGAGGCCGTGATGAGCCTGATGGTGGCCAAAGCTGGGAACCAGGGCCGTGGTGGGGAACATGGAAAGGAACTGAAGAATGGGTTTGGTCTCTCGGAGAGAGGCCCACAGTGTGCTGACTGGGCATTGCTGCCTTCCCAGGAAGATGCCAGGTAGCATCGAGGCTGGAGGATGGGGCTGGAGAGGGCTATCGAGCACCCCGAGTGGCTTCCATCTGTGCTGAGGGGGTCCAGCCTCTGGGAATGAAGCAATGCTTAACTGCTTCCTGCCCATGCAGATACCCACATGCATTTACTGAGCACCTACTGTATGCTTCTTCCTTTGCTCTTTGCTAGGGATGTAGGAAGGAGACTGCGAGTGTGTTTGGGAGGACAGGAATGAAAAGAGATGCTCTCAAAGTGCTTTACACTACATGATAAAGAAAAGCTTCGGCAGCATAGCCAGGTGGAAGTGCTTCAGGAGCACGGGGTGTCGGTGGAAGGATAGCAGTGCAGCTGGGTCTCAAAGGTTAAGTAGAAGTTTTCCAGTGAAGAGGAAACAGCACCAACAAAGGGCCAGAGGAGTGCTAGGGTGTGACCTTTCCAGGGGACAAAAGGCCAGGCTGGTTCACTGGGGCAAGGACATAGGACACTCTTGGGAGGCGAAGGTGGAAGGAGAGGAGGCCGGAGGGACAGCGTTCCAGCCCTGGAGATGCGCGGCAGCGTCCCCGCCTCTGCGGTCAGTCCTGTCAACAAGCGCGAGGAACTCTGGGCAGCAGGCAGCAGGACAGATGTGAGCCCTGGTGCTGCAACCCTGCAGTGCTCAGGAACAGGGGTCTTCCCAGAGCCCCTGGGCTGCAGGGTCAGGGAGGAGCCAGTGACCGAGAAGCCCTCGTGCCCTCTGATGGGAGTGAGCGCCAGGAACCTCAGCAGCAACTTCTCCCCTCGGTGCCTGCTGCTCCTGCCTCCACCAAGTGAGCAGTGATAAAAGCTTCTCCACAGGGAGGAGAACAGAGAGCAGTGGGGATAGCTCAGCAGCACAGCACCTGCCTAGGAAGCGTGAGGCCCTGGGTTCGATTCCTAGAACAAAAAAAAAAAAGAAAGAAAGAAAGAAAGGAGGAGAACAGAGGAAGAAGGAGATGAAAAGAACAGGCAGGGAGAAGGAGTGGGGCCCACCCCCTGTGGCCTGTGCTACGTATGTAATTGGAGTCATACAACACGTAGCCCTTTCAATCTGGCTTACTTCACTTAGCAATAAATATTTAAGGTTCCTCTGTCTTCTCATGGTTCCATAGTTCATTTTTTTCATCTCTGAGTAATATTCCATTACATGGTTATAGCAGAATTACCTATTAAAGGGTATTTTGCTTCCAAGTTTTGGCAATTATGCAAAGAGGTGCTGTAAACATTCATATGCAGGTTTCTGTACACTTCTGAGGTTTAGTTCACTTTGTTAAGTACCTAGGAATATGATTGTTAGAACACAGGGCAAGACTACATTCAACTTTGTAAGAAAACCTGACAAAACACTGCCTAAACAAAGTGCTTTGGCATCCATCTGCCCGACACTCCATCCCTGATTTCTCCTTCTTGGTTACATGACCCTGGTAAGGTGTTTTCCTCTTTGTTTTCTCATTCACAGGCAAGGCTGGTACTAGGACCTGCCGCATGCAGGGTTGTTATGAAAATTGAATCATATCACATATGTGTGGAGCTGAAGTTTGAGCCATAGAGTCAGTTTTCCAAAAAGGTAAGTGCAAATGCTCACATCGCTCCCTGTGGATGCAGGTTATTTGGGAATAGGAACCACAGACAGAAATCAGTGGATTTGGGCTATGTCCCAAGCGAGGGCACTGTCTTATTTAGACAATCACGTGGTGAAAGTGGGAGCGCAGGCTGATGCGGCAGCAGACCAAAGAATCCCAACGATGCCCAGGTGCCACTGAGTTGGCAGAGAGGCACGGAAGCCTCTGGAAGGACCCCCCACCTGGTGGCATCTTCATTTCCGGCTTTCCCAATGGTAAGGGAACACCGTTCTCTTTTTAAGCTGCCCAGTATATGGTTGTCCAAAGCAACGTAGGAAATGAACACCAGGACAAATATTCAAAAAACGGCAGGTGTTGGTGTCATCATTGCCTACAAAAGCTTCCCTTATGCTCTGGGCAGAGCTGCCTCCTCCTCTTTGATGTCCCCCTGTGCCCAGTGCAGCTTCAATCCCAGACCTGACATTCTTTCGGGGAACTATTTGTTTTTATATTCATCTTTGACATTGTACTTGAGTTGCACAGGATCTGGCCCAGAGGAGGTCAGCCTTTCAATAAAGACTGAAAGAGATTCCAGATTTTCTGCTCCCTGTTGATACCCAACTCACTGACAGCCTCCTGCCTGCGTGACACCTCCATCACCACCATCCAATGCCGGGCATCTGGTGCCCTGCCTCTGCCCTTCCCCCACCCAGGGCTGTATTAGGTGTGAATGAATCAAAAACATCAGGATTCGATTTGCAGTCCTTCTGTTTCTTTTTAAGCCATGTGCATTTAAATTAATCAGCCAAGCATGACTGAGAGTTTTGACAAGCCCAAAATATTGGGGAAAGCATTCGAGATGTTTTGATGATCCCCAGTGCGAAGGTAGTGAAGCTATTGGCCCAACTGTTTGTTCTATTTGAGGTCAGTGAAGGTTTTGAGAAACAGTCTGCATCAGCCATGTGGGTAAGTTTGTAAGACTCACAGGGACTCTGCCACCCTGTCTCTTCACCAGCTGGGCAGAGGTATGGAACAATGGGAGACTGTCTGCATGGTGACAGAGTGGCTGCTCTCGGCTTGGGACCAGGGTCCCAGATGCTGCCCTCCTGGGAGAGCCTGAGACTCCCCTCTGCTCCTGGGGCCTTAGATCGCCCTCCTGGACATCTGTAACCACGGGCATGATGCCAAGACTCTTGTACAGTTTGAGGCAGGTGGCAACGAGAATCCAGGGGTCAAATGGCTTCAAAAGTAGTGTGTAGACTTCTGCCTTTTTAAGAAAACAACGAATCACTTGTTTCTTATCACAAAAGTAATGCCTGCTTTTGTTTGTGTGGGAAATAAACATACAAAAAACCAGTTTTGGAGGAAAATATCCACTTATAACCCACAGTGCACAGACAGCCACCATTTGACCTCATTCTGTATCCTTCTAGATGTTTCTTCTGTAGGCAGGTCTACATACTGCATGGGAACAATTACGTTGCACACTGCTTGATCCTGGAACAGAAACGTCCTCCAAACTGAGCAGAGGGGGCCTCTGTGTAGAAGAGCAGGAGGTCTAAGTCCTCTTGTCATTACCCCAACCTAGGTGTAGTCGTTCTTGCACAGAATTCTTGAACAGCTTCCTGCTGACTGCAAGGTCTGCTATAGGAAAGGAACTGACGAAAGCCATTCTGTGCACTAATCTGTACTCCCAAGAGAACTGAACACTGTTGCAAACACCAGACTTGAAAGATGTAGGCAGACGGCTTCCTAGCCCATCTCCACTTACTGTTTCCATTTTCCAGGGCAAAAGAATTCCTGAGAAGACTTATAAACTGGGTTAGATGGGAATCCAACAGTGGTTTCAGGTGTATTCTCCTGGAGCTAAGCAGTGCAGCCCCTGACATTGGAAATGCAACAGGTGAACAAACAAATACACCTTTCTCCATTCTGGATCATAACAAACAGCAGAGACAACTTGCTCTTCTTGGGTAGGGAGAGCGGTAATACATTTACTGATTTGATTCTGGGACTTAAATTCTTCAGACTGGTGCCACTGTCTATTCTATAACATCTTGATGGCCTGACTATCTTATTATAGGTCGACATGTTTATCATTAGCCTGGGGACAGTATAGCAGGTTTCCTAGAAGTTTTGTAAGATATGTGTGTGTACAGAGGGTAAGGTTCACATGCTGCAGAATCAGTTTCCTCTATGGTTCCAGTGACCAGGAGCAGGGCTGGCAAATTGTTTCTTAAAAGGTCAGTTAGGAAATCACTTTAGCACTGAGCACGTGGTCTATCCTCCCACTACTCCATTCTGCTGTAATAGTGCCAAGGCAGTCATAGGTAATGTGCAAACCGATGAGCATGGCTGTGTTCCAGCAAAACTTTATTTACAGAAACAAGGTGTGGATTTGATTTGGTTTCACTTGCAGAGCCCTGGTCTACAGCATGCCAGACTCCTCCTCCAAAGATGACTCAGAGCCCTTGCCTAGGTTTCTTCCCACTAAGAAACAGGCATGATGTTAAGAGAGTGTTGTGATCAGAGGAGGCTGTGCTAAGAAATTATCATAACTTTGCTGGCAAAACAATAGACTTCTATTTTTTAGAGTTCCAGAAGCTATAAGTCTGGGGTGCTGCACCATGAACCTGGCGAAGGCCCTCTTCCAGGTGAAAGACATCCAACTTCTCTTTATATCTTCCACGGTTGAAAGAGGGTTACAAGAGCTCTACCCTCATGCCTTAAATTATCCCCAAATACTTAACCTGGAGGGTTAGAATTTCAAATTGTGAATTTGGGAGAGATACAAACATTAGTTTGTAGCAAAGGTTCTCTTAGAAATTCAGAATCAGAGGGTAATTTTGGGCATATTGCTCTCACCCATGTGCCAGGGGAACTGAAAATGTGTTAGCTTTAAGACAAGTTCAGATAAAGAACCTCAGCTCATTCATGACAGCCCAGGTGGTCCTTCACCAACACATTTGAACTGCAGACACCATAGGGCTCCGGCTGTCTCTAGGAAACTGAGATGCTGGCTGGTGTCTTGTGGGAACTCTGGGCTAACCTTCCTGTCTTCCCAAGCCTTCCTGCTCCATGCCCTACTCATGCAGTTTTGGTGCCTTATATTGCAAGTCAACTTAAGTTACAACCACAAAGCACCATCTCAACTTCATGAAGGCCTCCTAATGTTTACAGAAAAGTTTGAGTTGATAGCTAATTGAGCTGTTTGTATTTTAGGTTTCTAAAACCAATAACCACAGCAAGGCAAACCTACATCCCATGTAAGTACCTCTACTCTCAGATCATGCTGTGTCCCCACCCTGCAGCAGCTCTTTCTGTCCACCTCCATCTTAAGATGAGCAGTGTGGGTGTCTGACCAGGATAATCGCCACCTTCTCACCACCAGTGGTGCCTTCCTTATTGCCATCTGGCTTGTGGCTTGTGACAGTTCCAGAATTCCATCTGGAGGATTTGTTTTCTAGGATGGCTTCTAAGAGCAACTTGCTTACATTAGATTCTCCCAGTGAAATAGATTGGGAGACAAGAGCTTGTGGGCAGGTTGTTGATTGGGGGCTGTAAGTCCTTGGAAGATGGTGGTGGCATGGACAGAGGGGATCAGGGAAGACAGGAAAGCAGCGTGAGTTTGCTTTATAAAGCTGGTCACTACTGGGGTGCTTTTCTCATAAGGGTTCATGTGCAAAAACTTGGTTTGCATGTTGTCTCTTTTATGAGAAGTGGTGTAACCTTAAAGGGTGATTCTCATGAGGAGTGGTTAGGTCTTTGGGGGCACTGCCCTTGGCATTAATGTTGCTTTCATAGACTGAGTGGCTTTTTGAGACAGCAGGGTGTTACACAATGAGGTCATCCCACACACTTGACCCTTTCTTCATGCGATTGGTTCCCTTTGCATTTCTGTGCTATGTGGTGGTACAGTAAGATGCTGGTGCCATATTTTTTGGACTACACAATCATGAGAATCATGAACTTGGTTACTTTTCTCTCATTGCTGAGACAAAATAGCCAACACCCAAAATTAAAGAAGGAAAGGTTTATTTATCTTACAGTTTTTGGAGGTTTCATTCCATAATCATCTGGCTCGAAGGCAGGGTGGAGTGGCTAAGGAGCAATTGTTCATGGTGGTGGCAAGCAACAAGAGCAAAATGGCAAAAAGGGAAAAGCACACCTCCTTGCCTTGTATTGTTTGCTGGCTACTCGCCCCTGGGTGGGTGCAGCATCCCCACTGCCAATCCCAGTGCTAGACAACAAACCGATCACAAAGGCTAGACTCATCTGCCTCCATAACTGCATGAGGATTTCGGGGGACACCCAGACACAAACCATAACATGAACTAAATCCATCTTTTTCAGTATTTTGTTGTAGCAACAGTAAATAGACCTGAGAATTGCTCCCCCAGGTGACAGAAGGTTCATTGCCTTCATAGGCTGTCTTATGGAGGGTTGTTTCCTTCTTCTTTCTAGTTTTGCCTATGCCTGACTACTGAAGCCCTTCAGTAGATATTTTGTGCTGCAATATTAAGAAAGTCCCAGGTCAGAAAGCCAGAAATACAGAGTGCAGTTGAGGAGATAAATAACCACCATGTTAAACCTGCAGGATCATCATAGTGGAATTGAAGCTTGAGTATGGATGTAAACACAAGAGGTGACAGATATATTATGTGTGGATATGGGTTTCATAGATTTCTTCTCTATAAGGCTCATTTTACTGCTAATGCACAGATGTCCAGCTTCACTGACCAAGTTTAAGTTCCTGGTATGTGCAGTGTGATGCATAAGGTAGCAGACTGATTACTATGACAGTTACTGACTTTACCATAATCTCCATTCTTACTTGACTTTAAAGGATAATGGATGATCACATTGAAAATTCAAGCCAAAGATTTAACTCTGTGGCACAAATGCCTGCGAGGTTGTGAGTTTGATCCCTGGTAAAAATCAAACCAAACCAATCAAACCAAACCACCAAAAACAAAACAAACAAAAAACAAAACCAAAACCAAAG